CCCCTGGGGTGGGCGATCCCTGCCCCTCCCACCCGGCGTGGTGCTGTCCCGCGGCCCGGCCCAGGTCGAGCTCCTCAAGAAGGGTCAGAGCACGTATCGGGGAGGAGAAGGGATTTAATCCAGCCCAGGCTTTGAAAAGCTTGGGACTCAAGCAGCCGGCCCTGAGCATCAGCCCCCCTCTCTTGTTTCTTGGTTTGTTTAGCAAATAGTTGTTTGCCCCTAAAAGTGAAGGTTTAAGACCCAGAATGTGGTGTCTGCCTGGGCAGCGTGCTGAGGAGAAGGCCCTTTCTTCCTGCCTAGTTAATTCTGAGGCTTCTGTTGCGCCTGGCTTTTAGGACTTTTCCTGCCATGACGGTGTAGGGCGAATTGATACGGCACGTCTGTGCGGTCGTTTATCCAAGTTCCACAGGGCCACGGGGCTGCGTTTCTGTACAGTCAGGGGGTGTGATACAGCGTTTGTGCTGCTTCATCCTGTTCTGCTGGCAGCAGTGAATTCCCCTCGGAGCCTGCCGGCGCAGAACGACAGCACCCAGCTTCGTTTTGACTCAGCAGCAGAGAGCGTTTTGGTTTGCAGGGCCATGGTGATTTTGACTCGGTACCAGGAACCCAACAGCCCGATTTGTCGTGTCGTTGCGGCATGGGAGGGACTGTCCTGGGGTGGAGTGAGCAGAGTTCCTCCTGGGTGAGCTGAGAGATTGCTCGTTCTTTGTCTGCCCAGGATCTCGAAATAGTATGAGGCAATGAGAAAAGGGGGTTTTTGTGGTGTGAGCTCCAGCTGTTCCTGCTTCCTGGGGTGATGGTGAACCCAAGATCCCGTCCAGGGCAAGGATCTGAATCTCTTTTCTTCTCCTCAGAGCACCTTGAGTGATGCCCAAGAAGTTCCAAGGTGAAAATACCAAGTCGGCTGCTGCCCGCGCAAGGAAAGCTGAGGCAAAGGCAGCAGCCGATGCCAAACGTCAGCAGGAGCTGGAAGATGCCTACTGGAAGGATGAAGACAAACACGTGATGAGGAAGGAACAAAGGAAGGTGAATGGCTAGTCAGGTAGAAGGGTATCTTCTAGCCGGTCCTTTGCTGAGCCTGTGAGATCCAGGGTTGCTCAGAAAGCGTCACTTCTCCTCCTCTGCCCCCCCCCGCTGTCTCTCCACACATTGTCCTGTGCTTAGTTACAGGCAGAAGAGCTGGAACTAGTGGCTTCTCTGGAAGCTAAAAGAAACCTAGTGTAGGAGTCAGCGTAAGTTTTGATGTGTAATTGAGAAATCTGGTGGATCTTAGAGCTGGCTTCCCGAGGGAGGCAGTAAAAGCTTTATTGCTGGAATCATTTAAAATTGAATTAAGTGAAAGATCAGGGACTCGGCTGTAGGGCTTGATTTTTGACCAAGCAGTTCTTTACCTTTTTTTCCTTCCTTTTTCTTTCTTAACTTTTCTTCGATTTTTTTTTTCTTTTTTTTAATATAAGGAAAAAGAAATGAGCAGGATTAAGGGTTACAAAGCCTTTTTTTGTCCTCCCTAACTTGGTGTGCCACACATCAGGACGTGTGTCTCTCAGAAGATTCTCTCTGGTTTGCTCTTACCAGCTTGCTCTGCCCTGGGTGTGCATTTGCCTCGTTGCTCAATAAACAGAGCACTTTACTGCTCGTTTCTGGGTTATTTGATTTTTGACGTTGTCCTACATCAGCGTTAGACAAATCTATGTTCTGCTGGTGTGGATTTTTCTAGAAAGGATTGCTGGTGATAACTTAGCTGCCTCTTCTGAAATTATTTCTTTACCCTCACGCTAACCAGACAGGGCTTCTGTTGACGACATAAATGGGATTTGTGGGGTTACTGGGTTTGTGCTGCTCTCTGAGTTCGGCGCTTACTGAACTTTGTGTGGCGCTACTTGAGCACACTGGCCGGGCAGGCAGGACGCCAGCGTGTCCCCGTAGTGACCTTGGCTGCCGTGTGCTGTGTACGTCTGCGTGAGTTCACCCCTAATATGTGTCTTGACGTTTGGAATTTGGAGTCCTGTGTGCTGTTCACCCTCACAATCCTGTAATGCTGCCTAATTACTTCCTGGAACAAGGACTTATTATTGCTCTACTTAAGACTTGGCCAACAGTGACCTATTTGACTGGGCTTCCAAAACAGGCTCCTGCAGGGAAGGAACCTGGGAGTCTGGAATTGCAAACTGGAAAACCAGTTACTCTATCCCAGAGCCTCAGACCGGGTTTTAGAGAAACCAGTGAGGCGGTTTCCACTCGGCACCTCAGCCAGCCCCTTTCCCGTAGTCTCTAGGTCTGAATTTCACCTGGATGCTGTGGGTTTTGCAGTGCATTTGCTTCCCACAAGCTCCCCTGGGGATCTTGCAGCTCACAGCAGCAAAAAAAATCTCCGCTCAGACAGGGAGCTGTCCTGCCAGAAGGACTCCGAGTCGTATCTGTACCCACGCAGGGGCTCTTCCTGCTGCTGGACCCTCGCGCAGGCGCTGCCACAACCTACGCAAAGGCTGGGGTTTTGTGTAGGTGAGCAAGTGGCCAGCAGATAGGGGCGAGTGGGTTGCTGGGGGAAAATAAATCAGCGAAACCTTCCTTAGCCGCTTCTCCAGTGCGGGAATATCCCCACGGAGAATGGAAGAAGCTGCCTGTGCCTCGTCACCTCCCGGCAGGGAAGGGATATGTGACTAAGATTGTAAATGACTTCCCATCCTAGAGAGGACAGAAACCAAACTTCCCCAGAGAAGTAGCTGTTTCGCGGGTGGTGCTGGTGTGGAAATAGCGCTGCTGTCCACGGCCATATGCTGCAGGAGGGACTCGTGTCGCTCTCAGCTACAGCACCCGGAGGAGGGGATGGCGGTGCATGTAGGAGGATGTTCTCAGCACCTCACAGTCAGCGCTGAACGGCTCTTCCCAGCTCTTCCCCGGCTTTCCGGGCGATGGCAGTAACACGTTAATGGCGTTGCAGCGCACCCGCGCAGCACCTCTGAATTCCTGCACCGCCAGCAGGCAGGAGTGGCTGAAAGCCTTCAGGACGTGCTGAGACCGAACCCTGCACACCCCTTTTAATCCCTTTTTTTTGCCCGTAGATGATCACCGGAACCGCGGTGAAATAAATGAGAGCGCAGAGCTCTGTGTTCCGGGGTTTGGTGGCTCTGCCTGGTGATCTGGGGATCTCGCTGACGGGGCAGCAACGCACGTCAGCATTAATATTTGGGCGTAGGGAAGCTTAATGTTCAAAATGCGGTGCCTGCTGTCGTGAGATTCGCTGTCACCAGACGACTGTCCTGTTGTTTGTTTTTGCTGCGTTTTGGGGTTTCTTTAAACGCCGCCCCCGCTCTGAGAGCGACCTTCGGAGCTGATCTCTGCTGACAGAGGATGACACTCATTTGGTGGCTCCGTGATGCATAAAGGAACATCTGAGCTAATATCACCAGCCTGCAGTGTGTGTGTTCCTCCTCTGGCACTTCAGCACAAGTCATAGCTTGTTACCTTCCCCTGGAGAGCACAAAATCTACATCCTTCTTGCTGGAAGACTCAGAGTTTTACCTAGGTAACCATTTTTCTTTTAACATTTGGGTGTTTTCATCCTTTCTGTCCCTTCCCATGCGAAGTTATGCCGCAGCTCAGAGCGCGGCCCTCCTCACCAGCCTGATCACAGTGTGGTTTTCTCCATGCAATTAGCTAAAGTGTGTCTGGTGGTAAAACAGCCGCGGACGCGTGTGCATCCTGGGGGAAGCTGCGGGCAGGCTTGGAAGGGTGACAAACCATTAAATCGGCTGGAGTGTTACGGGAAGAAGGGACCAGCGGAGCATCTGTCAAGGGCAGAGGTCTCGCAGCCAGAGTCAGACCTTCTTTTATCTGGTGACCTTGGGTTTAGCCGCTTTGTGCCTTGCAGGTACGTGCAGGAAGATCTCGCTGGCTGGGACCGCTGCTGGAGCTGAGATGTCCGCTGGAAGGACGCAGACGAATTCTCAATCTCCTTCAAAAAGTCCTTCTGGGGCTGTCTGGCTGAGGGAGGACAAGCCCTTTTCCCCGTTCAGGCTGTGTTTTGCCTGGACTCCGTGAGTGCCTGTGTGCCAGGAAAGCAGTTCCTCCTCGTTCAGCAGCGGCTCAAAGCCCCTTGGCACCCTTCTCTCTGCCCGGCGTCTCCTGGCATCGGCAGCACCGTCCTGCGGAGTTCTCTCCCGTGGCTTCGCTCGGCGGCAATGGGAGGGCGCGCAGATGGTCTGGGAGCGAGGAGACACTTTATACTTGTACGCGAAGGGTCTGGGGAAAGATTCAAGTTAAATGCAGGGCAAGTGCTTGTGCTAGAAGAGCAGAGATAGCGCACGAGGGAGCAATGACTTTTTTCGGTGCGAGTTTTATGCCTTTCTTGTTCCCGTTAGCCTCGATCACGGGGTGCGGGCCGGCAGGTTCGTGTACCAACAGGTCCCAGCTGCAGTGGTATTGTAGGCAGGCAAGTGGTGACTTTCTCTTCCTCCTCTCCTCTGATTCAGTGCAGAATTACTCAGCTGTGAGCACCAGCTCTTACTCAGATAAAACGCAAGACAGGTCAAATGACTGTTCTTCCCTCTTTGGAGAACGTCTGCATGGTACCGGGTATGTGATACTGAAATCTGATGGCTCGAACGAGCGGAGGTGTAGTGGAGAGAGACCTGACGATGCCGGCACGGGGTTTAGACCCCAGAACCAACTTCCTCAGGCTCCGGTATCCCTTCCATGCTTGCTTTGACATGCTTTGAGACGGGATCAAACGGGCTCCTTGCGTTGCGGAGCAACACAAGGAGCCCGTTTGATCCCGTCTCAAAGCTCTGTGTACCTCAGAGAGCCCAGTGAGCACTTAGACGTACTCCAGGTTGGTTTTGCCCCACTCACTTTCTTGACTGCGTCATTTTATTTTTTTTTTTGCATTCCTTTGCCCTTCCGCCATCCAAGAAGCGGCGTGCTTCGCCAGGCTGGCAACACGTTCTCCCACCTTCCTCGGGGCGTCACGCTAAGAGGTTGATTGGGAGTGCTGCTGCTTCAATTGACCGCTTGCTCTCAAAGCCATGTGCTTTGAGACCTTGTTCTCCTCCTGTCTGGCAGGTGGGAAGCTGTTCTGAAAGCTAATGAATTGTTCCTTGCTCAGGTAGTTCTCCGCAAAGCTGGAAACTTGGGTTTTAACACACAAATCCTTGGCAACGGAAGGGTCCAGCTAAAGAAATCTCACCCCCTGCTCCTCCTAGCGCCCTGCAGAGTGCAGCAATGTCGAGGGAGAAGATTATTCATTTCCTTTCCAGTTTTCTAATAGCTTTGCAGTACGCTTCACTTAGACAAATCCAAGCCTCTCTTTCATCAGGACATTTAAGCTGATTCATAAAGGATTAGTTTCTTTTGGCCCAACCTGAGAAAAGTCTTCAAAAATGACAGCTTCAGGCCCCTCGGGCTTTGGGATCAGCAAGCAGGCGGCTCGGAGCTGCTGCTTTTGAACCCTGCAGAAGGTGCAGAGCAGACCCGAACGTGACAGGCCGCTGGGGAAACCTGAGCGTGTAGATCTTGCGGGTCTTGTGACAAATTAGTAACAGTGCCGACTTATTTACTTTCCACAAATAGAAACTCAATTGTAAATGCCAGAGAGCAGGGAGTAGCTTACCCCGGCAGCTGGGGGAGAGGAGTAACTGGAGGTCCCCTGCAGCACGTGGTGCAGGAGGAAGGCCCTGCACCCTGCTTGTGCCTCTGTTTCCCCTTTGCTAAGTGGGTGTGTCCTCTTTGGAGTTTTGTTGGAAAGGGGCTAACGGCAGCAGAGCGTTATCCTTGGATTTCTGCTCTGTCGGACTGTCGTCGGCCCAGCTGGGGCTGCGTGGTGTGAGGCTGCTGAGCTAGCTGCCTTGTAGGACAGTTCCCTTTCTGTAATAAGCAGGGGTAAAAGATAATCTTCTCTAACTATAAATAACATTTCTGTTCCAAAATATCTTGCTCCCTTCCCTTAGGTCATTAGTACTTGTGTATCCCTCGTTATCTGTCTCCTGAATTATTCAGGCCACAGCTGTGCCTGCAGCCTTGCTGAGGTGCTCGCCGTGCCAGCACCCTCTCGGGGTTACCTTGTCCAGTCACCCCCGAGCTCCAGGGATGGGACGAGCCGTGTGGGGACCCTTTCTTTGCACCAGCCCACGTTCTAGGCACGCTGCTTCTCTTGCACATGCTTTGCATCTAATTAAATGGCTTACTCTCTCTGACTGCTGGACCTCCAGTGATTTCTGTGGCCCTCCTGTTTTGGCACATTAATCTCTCCAGTTCGGGGATTTCTCCTGCATTCTTCCTTAAAACCACCTGATGCTCAAGCAGAGTCTGGTGACTAAGCCAGAGATCCCACCCGGAGCTGTGCTGAGGGTGGGCAAAGCACCACAGTTGCTCAGGTATAGCCCTGTGTATAAATTTTTTAGGGGAGGAAAGACAGTCTTCCCCTTCCTCTCGTAACAACCTTCCTGTTGCAGCAGTGGCCAAAATCCCTCCTAATCTGGGAGACTGAGTACATTTGTTTACTCAACCTTTACTAGAAGAAGGAGAGGCCTGACAGGAAAGCAGCGGGCAGGGAAAGCCGACGTCTTAAATAAATGAGTTTGCACTTTGAAATCATGCACAGTCCGGTTGCCGGGGCATTGTGTCTCAAGGCACTGGCACTAAGCGCTTAATGACCAAGAATTTGAAGACTGCCAGTTGTAATAAAGGCTTCATCCCTCTAATGGGTTTTTTCCCATCCTTGGCCCCAGCTGCTTGGAGTGGAGCTAGGCGAGGCTTCCCTTCCCTTCCCTTCCCTTCCCTTCCCTTCCCTTCCCTTCCCTTCCCTTCCC